GACTCCATTTGAAAGATCAGGATCCCCTTATTTTTGCCCTTTTAGAATAAGTGATTTAATGTTCTAATTAATAAATGTTTTACATCAGCAGAAATAACGTGTTCAGAAAGATTATAGTTGTAGGATGAAGAAGAACATGGATAGTTGGAAAATTAAATTTCATATTTTCGATATAGAGGCACTGTTACTTTGTAATTAACATTTTTGGATGCGATATTCGATGCTTACTTGTAAGTTGTAGTCTTCAGCCGAAGAAGAAGACTCTGGTTTATCATAACGAACGGAGAGAAGTAGCATTTGAACTTTAATCTTTGCAAAAGCAAGAAATCAAACTTTAAAACATTATCATTGGTTTAGTTTTTGTCTTGGCAAAGATTTATTGCAATCAAATGACAAGAGGCCCAGGGGCCACAGCGCTCACCTGAGCACATCGGGCTTGAATTTGCTTCCCCCCCTCCAGGCATACATCATTTGAACAAACTAGAATCTACACTACCTGAGGATGATTCCATATAAATATCACTAATCATAGCTTTGAAGTACTTGAAAAGAATATTTTAAAAGATTTCCCTATATATCCCTACGTAAACCTTGGGTCGGCCATTTTGGCCCCACCCTAGCCCCGGGGGTCATGATTGGAACAAACTTGAATCTACACTACCTGAGGATGATTCCACATGAGTTTCATCTTTCCTGGCCCAGTGGTTCTTGAGAAGGATTTTTTCAGATATTTCCTATATATTCCTACGTAAAACTTGGGTCGGCCATTTTTTGGCCCCACCCTTGCCCCGGGGGTCATGATTTGAACAAACTTGAATCTACACTACCTGAGGATGATTCCACATGAGTTTCATCTTTCCTGGCCCAGTGGTTCTGGAGAAGAAGATTTTTAAAGATTTTTTCTATATATTCCTATGTTAAACTTGGGTCGGTCATTTTGGCCCCATCCTTGCCCCAGGGGTCATGATTTGAATAAATGTGAATCTACACTACCTGAGGATGATTCCACATGAGTTTCATCTTTCCTGGCCCAGTGGTTCTGGAGAAGAAGATTTTTAAAGATTTTTCCTATATATTCCTATGTAAAACTTGGGTCGGCCATTTTGGGCCCACCCTAGCCCCGGGGGTCATGATTTGAACAAACTTAAATCTACACTACCTGAGGATGATTCCACATGAGTTTCATCTTTCCTTGCCCAGTGGTTCTGGAGAAGAAGATTTTTAAAGATTTTTCCTGTATATTTCTATGTAAAACTTGGGTCGGCCATTTTGGGCCCACCCTAACCCCGGGGGTCATGATTTGAACAAACTTGAATCTACACTACCTGAGGATGATTCCACATGAGTTTCATCTTTCCTGGCCCAGTGGTTCTGGAGAAGAAGATTTTTTAAAGAATTTTCTTATATATTCCTAATATGTAAAACTAGGGTCGGCCATTTTGGCCCCACCCTTGCCCCGGGGGTCATGATTTGAACAAACTTGAATCTACACTACCTGAGGATGATTTCACATGAATTTCATCTTTCCTGGCCCAGTGGTTCTGGAGAAGAAGATTTTTAAAGATTTTTCCTATATATTCCTATGTAAAACTTGGGTCGGCCATTTTGGCCCCACCCTTGACCCGGGGGTCATGATTTGAACAAACTTGAATCTACACTACCTAAGGATGCTTCCACATGAGTTTCATCTTTCCTGGCCCAGCGGTTCTGGAGAAGAAGATTTTTTAAAAATGCCATTAATTTTTAACAAATTCATGATTATCTCCCCTTGGAAAAGGGCGTGGCCCTTCATTTGAACAAACTTGAATCCCCTTCGTCCAAGGATACTTTGTGCCAAGTTTGGTTGAAATTGGCCCAGTGGTTCTTGAGAAGAAGATGAAAATATGAAAAGTTTACGACAACAACGACAACGACAACAACGACGACAGACAACGGACAAATTTTGATCAGAAAAGCTCACTTGAGCCTTCGGCTCAGGTGAGCTAAAAACTGTAGGACGAGTAGCACGAAAGAAAATTAATATCATTTTTAGTAACCATGGCAACAAGGTCCAGCAAAATAAAAAAAACAATAAATAGAATTTTGTAATTTAGTCTAGTCTACTTGTCTGTGCCGATTATTTTAAAATCAGACTAAAACTTTGGGAGAAGTAGCATTTTGAAAATATTTCTATTATATTGTTCACAGAAGGACAGACAACTAACTAGACAGACGGGCGATGGGCACCTTACTATTGCATAAGCTATTCGACTTTAAGAGCAACAAAAAAAATAAAGAAGCTGAACATTACAGTAAGTTTATTATCAACTTAAGATGAGAAGAGAATTGAAGGGACAAATAAATTGAATATTACTTGAAACTAAACATTAATCAATTACAATTGTCCACTTACTAGTATTTGATTTACACAATATTCATTGAAAACTGTAACAAATGAATTCAACATATTACATACCATGAGGTATCTATATACAGTTATATATAACAATTCCAAAATATTTCGACAAAAGTTGAAGCACACTAGATGATCTAAATATATGTCTGATTATACAATGACTCGGCCAGGTTTCAATAAGAAAATTTTACATTAGACTAAAAAATAATGCTAAGAAATGGTGTATATACGTTAAAGTAAAATAAATGATAAACATCTTTGTATTTAATAGTACTTTTATTATGTGATTTTAAAAAATATAACAAATCTTTCATCACTTTCAAAAAGACTTATTCTAAAAATTTACTTTTTTTAATTCAAAGATTTTTTTTTTAAAACAAATGCAATACATGTATTATACATCATATTAACAAGTTGATGAACAATCTTTTACAACAGAGAAAAACCACGAGTGCCAACATATAATGACTGAAGACTGATAAAAACAATCTCTTACTGAAGCAATGCAAATATTAATGCTTGTAAATATTGACAAATCAAAATTTCAAGACACCCTAAAAGAGAAGGGTAGGTAAAACACTGTGTTATAGGTTATATGCTCTTATTTTCATAATATTTTAATGTACACTATACGGAGGTACTTTTTTCTTAAAAATATCAACTCTGATGTTTATTTGATTTACTCAGCACTATCTTCCTCTCAGCACGTTTTAGGTATTCAAACAAATCTTTGATTTTTCTAAAGTTATTCAATAGTCACCGTGCCCTCTTTAGAACCGAAACACCCTTTAACTCTCACATAGACATCAAAACTAAACCACCATCATAATATAACCTTGTCCAGAGTCACCATTCTCTCTTTTACTGAATCGCACATTCTTCAGTACACGTAACACTGATAAATAAGTGTCACTTATCCTTAACTTACTGAACATTCGTCTTGTTTAACCTTTAACAGACAGACCATGTTAGAATAGCACACAATCGTACTCGCTGAACCTTACCCTGACAATAACATCAACTCACACATCCAGGGGAATAATATCATCTCTATAAAATCATCCACCAAAAAACTATGTCCATCAATCATTCTAAACAAAAAATGTTACAGATAAAATGCAAACTTTAAATCATCGATCGATTCTGCAAAGATAATAGTCTCAATTTTATAAAAAAAAAAAAAAAAAAACGAATTCCTCTGTATATACAAGAGGCCCATGGGCCACATCGCTCACCTGAGCACTAAGGGTAGGAAAAAGTAGAAAAATGGCTTTTTTATTGTAAAGTTTAAATCCAAAAGTTGTCCCATGACCAATCATGGATTTGCTATTTTTCAGAAAATGATTTTTAAGGAATTTTCCTATTTATATCTTTTAAAACTTTGGTCGGCCATTTTAGCCCCGCCTTACCCCCGGGCGTCATGATTTGAACAAACTTGAATCTACACTACCTGAGCATGTGCTTCCATATAAATATGATGAATCATGGCTTTGTCATTCTTGAGAAGAAGATTTTTAAAGAATTTTCCTATATATTTCTATGTAAAACTTTGGTCGGCCATTTTGGTACCGCCCTACCTCTGGGGGTCATAATTTGAACAAACTTGAATCTACACTACTAGAGCATGCTTCCATATAAATATGATGAATTATGGCTAGTTGTCATTCTTGAGAAGAAGATTTTTAAAGAATTTTCCTATATATTTCTATGTAAAACTTTGGTCGGCCATTTTGGCTCCACCCTACCCTCGGGGGTAATGTTTTGAACAAACTTGAATCTACACTACCTGAGGATGATTCCCCATAAGTTTCATCTTTCCAGGCACTGTGGTACTGGAGAAGAAGATTTTTAAAATATGCCACCAAATTTTCATTAATTCCAAATTATCTCCCCTTGAATGAGGGCGTGGCCCTTCATTTGAACAAACCTGAATTCCCTTCACCCAAGGATACTTTGTGTCAAATTTTGAAATTGGCCCAGCGGTTCTTGAGAAGGAGTCGAAAATGTGAAAAGTTTACAGACAGACCGACAGACAGACAGACGGACGCCGGACAAAATGTGATCAGAAAAGCTCACTTGAGCTTTCAGCTCAGGTGAGCTAATAATTACCATACATGAGTGCTAGCAGAATGCTTTAAAGAACTCTTGTGAATGTTAATTAGCCACAGTCTGTAGCAGTCTCTTCAAATATTAAAACTCTAGTAAATCTTCATAACATCTCACCCTGATCCGCTGATACCAGTGGAGTAAGTATCTGACAAACTTTACTGTTTGATATCAGTCTGCTCTTATAACAGCTACTCATATGTCCACTCGGCATGATGCTGTCAGTGGAACACGATACCTATCAAGTTCATTGAGACCAGTTCTTATCCCTAGAACCTCCTTCACTACACTCGCCCTAAACAAATATATCATCCATTATATGCTACTGTCTGTGGAGTATTAATGTCACTCTTTTGATCGATATCAGCTCCTATAAGCTCCTTCACTTCACTGATATGTCCACCCTTACATGCTGCTATCAAGTGATATATTATACTCTTTTCTGATAGATATCAGCTCCGGCTTCTATAAGCTCCTTCACTATACTCATACGTCCACATTAATATCCTGTTGTCAATGGTGTTTCTGCCTTATCTTGTAGAATGTTACCTGCTCCCGCTTCTAGTAACATCTTCACTATACTCACATGTCCCCTCTCACATGCTGCTGTTAGTGGTGTTTCATGGTTACATTGCGGATTGATATCAGCTCCTGCTTCGAGTAGCTCCTTCACTACAGTCATATCTCCAACCTTACATGCTGCTGTCAATGGTGTATAATACTTACCTTTAGGATTGATATCAACTCCGGCTTCTATTAGCTCCTTCACTAAACTCCTGTGTTCCCCAAAACATGCTGCTGTCAGTGGTGTATTATACTTACCTTTAGGATTGATATCAGCTCCGGCTTCTATAAGCTCCTTCACTAAACTCATATGTCCACCATGACATGCTGCTGTCAGTGGTGTATTATACTTACCTTTAGGATTGATATCAGCTCCGGCTTCTATAAGCTCCTTCACTAAACTCATATGTCCAACCTTACATGCTGCTGTCAGTGGTGTATTATACTTACCTTTAGGATTGATATCAGCTCCGGCTTCTATTAGCTCCTTCACTAAACTCATATGTCCACCATGACATGCTGCTGTCAGTGGTGTATTATACTTACCTTTAGGATTGATATCATCTCTGGCTTCTATAAGCTCCTTCACTACACTCATATGTCCAACCTTACATGCTGCTGTCAGTGGTGTATTATACTTACCTTTAGGATTGATATCAGCTCCGGCTTCTATAAGCTCCTTCACTACACTCATATGTCCACCCTCACATGCTGCTGTCAGTGGTGTATGAAACTCACCACCTTGTTGATTGATATCAACTCCTGCTTTTATAGCCTCCTTCACTACACCCTTAATTGCTGCTGTCAGTGGTGTATAATTCCAACCTTGATGATTGATATCAGCTCCGGCTTCTATAAGCTCCTTCACTACACTCATATGTCCACCTCTACATGCTGCTGTCAGTGGTGTAGAATACTTACCTTTAGGATTGATATCAGCTCCAGCTTCTATAAGCTCCTTCACTAAACTCATATGTCCACGTTGACATGCTGCTGTCAGTGGAGTATAATACTTACCTTTAGGATTGATATCAGCTCCGGCTTCTATAAGCTCCTTCACTACACTCATATGTCCACCATAACATGCTGCTGTCAGTGGTGTATCACACTGACCTTTAGGAATGATATCAGCTCCGGCTTCTATAAGCTCCTTCACTACACTCATATGTCCACCATAACATGCTGCTGTCAGTGGTGTATCATACCTTCCTTGTTGATTGATATCAGCTCCGGCTTCTATAAGCTCCTTCACTACACTCATATGTCCCCCCTCACATGCTGCTGTCAGTGGTGTATAATACCTACCTTTAGGATTGATATCAGCTCCGGCTTCTATAAGCTCCTTCACTACACTCATATGTCCACTACCACATGCTGCTGTCAGTGGTGTATCACGAAATAAATATTTCTCATTTGTGTTTGTTTGTTTTAAATCAATATACTTAATTAATATTTTTACAGTCTCTAAATCTTCACTGTAACAACTCAATAAAAATAAGCGGTCATGTTCGGGAATAGACTGACTGTTTTTCTGTTTTTGATTTCTTGTATCAGTAATGGAGTTCAAAAAAAATAATTTGTCTGTGGCATTACCTTTTTCAGAGTTATTTCGTCTCTCGTTGGTTTCATAGATTAATTTGGGGCTAAAGGAATTCCAAAATAGTTCAATCTCTGTTTCTTTGTGTAGTTCAGTTTGTTCTAAAATATATTGTAAGATCTGACTGTGTCCGTAGTAAACTACCCAGCTGATAACCCTCACACTGTATGTTCCAGTTAAAATATTCTCATTCAACAGCACCTCTTGTCTGCGCAATTCCCCTCTCCTCTCAACCCCCTTCTTACTCTCCTCCCACACACGCCTTCCTTTACTCACTACCTTAGACACGTCTTTCTGTTCTGATAGAAATAAAGACTTTAACTCTGTGTAAGACTTGGTCTTTAACACCTCAATAAAAGCCTGACATACCCGAGGGTGTTTTAAAACATTATTCATAAAAACATCATACAGCTCCATATTTTCTATATCTCTGTACAAACGCTCTGCTAACATTGGGTACTGATCCTCTCTTAACCTTATGCAGAGTTCAAATGAGTCCTGGATTGTTTCACTACTTAATGTTTCCTGCTCCTCAGCACTAAATTCTTCATTTTCATCTTGCTTATATTCAACCTCTGATTCTTCTTTACATTCTTGTACTTTCACGTTATTAGCAATGTAACTACTGCTAATATATTGCAACAAAAGATCTGGAAACTGACATCCATAATGATACACAAGGATTTCAAAGACAGAGTCATGAATAATGGTGTACTCAGTACCACAGAGTTTTGTGTATGTCCCCTCCATAGCTGCCAATGCTTTAACAAATTTAAATGTATCAGTGTTACTTTCAACTTCACAACTTTCTAGTAGTTTTGATTTCATATCCTCGAAAACATTGTTTTCTGTGTTTTTCAATATTACTTTTGATAGTTTTTTTTCATTCAACATACACAAGACCAATGTAGCATAGCATAAACTATTTTGCTTTTGCATTTTATCAAATTGTTCTAAAATACATTCAGCTGGATAGGTAAAGAACCTTTCAACATTGTTTCTAAATTTCTCCTCATTTGAATATAGTTTACACAGCAGAGGAAACATATCCAATGTTCCTCCCAGTAATGTAGGGGTCAACAAATCTCTATCCAAGCCGTGTTTCTGAAGGATCGCTTTCTTATCTTCATCGTTCAATACATTTTCGGAACTATGCATCTTAATTGTGTTATTTTCATTTGAGAAAAATGATTTGTAACATTCATTAAACACGGCTTCTCTGCATGACATTAATACCTTTGTATTTCTATTGGACGGATCTGAAATTCTTTTTTCATAGTCTATCAATGACTCTAACTTTTGTTTTTGCAGACCATGCACACCTACCACATCATCAATGACAAAAACCTGTGGATGACGCGAGTCAGAATAATCTTCAATCTTCCTGATATCTATAATTGGTACAACCTCGTATTCTTCCTTCTGGAGTATCAGGGCTATGTGATGAATCGTTGCCGATTTTCCTGATCCTGGGACACCAACAAATGTCATGTAAGGTTGACTTCTGACTTGATCCAACATTGCAGGGAAACCGTGGCTTTCACTGTAAACCCCATCCTCCTCTTTCCATCGTATGACATCTTTTTCAAAAACATCTATAAAAAATTGTTACAGAAAGATATTTTATAAATTTTTTTATTTTGTCAGTAATATAATTACTCGTATTTCATAGTAATTGAGGGTTTTTAAAGGTAAAACCCCTGTTTATAAGATATCTATACTTACCTGCATTGAACAATTCGCAATATGTCACGGACTCCTACTACTATGCCCGAATTATTTTAAGAACGAGTTATCTTCCCTTAACCCACTCTCTAATACCCAACATCCGGGTACCTCAGTTTATGTGAGGGGAAAAAAAATTAACCCTAAAAACTCTATAGCGGGGAGGTGGGTAGGGAATATGCAGGTAAGTATAGATATCTTATAAACAGGGGTTTTACCTTTAAAAACCCTCAGTTTATTTCAGTATCTATACTTACCTGCATTGAACAATTAGCAACTAACAGAATTTGTAGCTAAAGGAGGAGGGAATAGAGTAAATATAAAACTATTCACCCTAAAGGTTCTTTTTCTTGCCCACTTCATTGTCTTTAAAATGGAAGATCTGGCAAAGTTCTCATCACCCCAAGACACATCTTTCAGGTAAAATGAGGTAAATGTATTTTCAGAGGCCCAGTGGGCTGCTTGTAAAATCTCTCTGAGTGAGGATTCATTAAACAAGGCCCAGGATGAAGCCAAGCGTCTAGTATCATGAGCTCTAACTTCTCTCAAATTTAAATCTGTTGAATTTTCATATACATATCTTATAAGGGAAACAATCCATCTAGATATAGAGCCTTTAGCTGCTGGCCTATGTAAATTCTTTTGATAAGTAATAAAGAGTGGCTCATTTTGATCCCTTATGTCCCTAGTTCTTTTTCTGTACATCTTTAGACATCTACATGGACAGAGTAACAGATCATCTGATTCTGTCGCAAATCTGTCAAATCTAGGTATAAAAATTGGATTCCATGCCCTACCAAGACGTTGAGTTTTGGCTAAAAATTGTAAATTAGGAAGAAGTCTAATACCAGTACTTTCCTCTCTGTAATTAGATTCCTTGATAGACAAGGCATGTAATTCACTTACTCGTGAGGCAGATGCCAAAGCCACCAGGAATACAGTTTTCCAAATCAAAAACTTCAAATCCATAGATTCAATGGGCTCAAACGGGTGTTTTGTCAAAGCCCATAAAACAGAGGGCAAGTCCCAATTAGGTAACAAGGGCTTAATGGAAGGATTTGAATTAAAAATTCCCTTTATTAAGTCTGACAAACTTTTCTCAGAACTAACTGTACTCTTACTCCAACCCTTGTGGACTGTAGCAATTGCTGCCCTATAACCAGCAAGGGTGGATGCTCTGCATCCCTTTGTTTCATGCAAATTTACCAAGAAATTTGCCATGTCTTCTACAGAGGAAGAATATGGACTGACACATCGCTCACTACACCAGCTTTTGTAACTCGCAGTCTCGCATCATAAACTCTCTTGGTTGATGATCTTCTGCTCTTTTCAATGTATTTCTGTCAGCTCGCGGAGAAAACATTTTCTCAGCTGTCTTATGCTGAATATTTTCCAAGCTACTAGTCTGAGATTTTCTGGGTCTGGATGAACCACTTGACCTCTTTTCTGTGTCAGCATTCTTGCTATTACTGGTAACTCTCTTGGATGATCTATGAGAAGCTCCAGGAGTGATGGGTACCATGACCGACGTGGTGCAAATGGTGCTATCAGTATCAACGTGCACTGTTCCTGAGCTACTTTCTGTAGAACTAAGTGGAGCAGAACCGGAGGGGGAAATGCATATGCATACATCCCTGTCCAATTTACACTCAGTGCATCTGTTGCGAAGGCTCCTTCCATTGGAAATGGGGAGCAAAACACTTGAAGCTTCTTGTTTTCCGAAGTCGCAAACGGATCGATATTCGGTGGATTGAATCTCTGAAAAATATTCTTCACAATATTCTGATTCAGGCTCCACTCTGTCAGTCGAATGCCTAATCGACCTTTGGATAGACTGTCTGCTAGGATGTTTCTCTTTCCTGGTATGTGGGCTACACTGAGGACAATATTGTGACTCTTCGCCCATTGAAAAATCTCCCAGGTCAGAAGACAGAGTAGAATTGATTTTGTGCCTCCCTCCTTGTTTATGTACGAGACAACTGTTGAGTTGTCGCACCTGAGTAGAACTCGCTTGCTCTTGATCTGGTGCAAAAACTGCATCAAGGCCAACTGAACAGCTTTCATTTCCAGCCAGTTGATATGGTGGGTCTGTTGAGACATATTCCACTTCCCTGCAATTTGAAGTGTGTCTAAATGGGCTCCCCAACCCATCTCTGATGCATCTGTCCATAGAACTACTGGCTCCTCCTGGTAAAGAAGAACTCCTTTGAATATATTTGTTCTGCTGGTCCACCATTCTAGGTGAATGACCAAATCCTGACTGATGGGTATCAGGGCAAACAAACTGTCTTTGTGTGGTTGCCATAAAGACAGGAAATAAAATTGGATAGGCTGCATATGTAGGCGAGCTAATGGGATTAAATCTATACATGCTGTCATTAAACCCAGAAGTCTGAGAAACTTGTGTGCTTGCACCCATGTTGATCTCTGGAATTGTGCAATTTCTTGTAAGAGATTCTGAAATCTTTCTTCTGACGGGTACACTGCTCCCATTGTCAAACTGAAGTGAACCCCCAAATAGTCCAATTCCTGAGTTGGTATCAGTTGAGACTTTTGCCAGTTTACTAACAGGCCTAAGTTGCTGAGCAAGTTCAGTAGTATCTCCCTGTGATGCATGAGCAGTTGACGTTGTTGGCTCTTGATTAACCAATCGTCCAGGTACATGTATATGTGAATCTGTCGAGATCTCAAATACTGTCCTATTACATGTACAGCCATCAGCTTTGTGAAAACTCTGGGAGCTATTGCTAGTCCAAATGGCATTACTTTGAACTGGTAATGCTTTCCTTGAAAACAGAACCGAAGGAACAAAAGTAGTCCCATGAACAACCATGGATTTTTTATCTTTGAGAAGATGATTTTTAAAGAATTTTCCTATATATTTCTATGTAAAACTTTGGTCTGCCATTTTGGCCCCGCCCTACCCCTGGGGGTCATGATTTGAACAAACTTGAATCTACACTACCTGAGGATGCTTCCATATAAATATGATGAACAAGAGGCCGATGGGCCACATTGCTCACCTGAGAAGCTTTGGCCATTCTGTTCTTTACCAGATTTCCCCCTTATAATACATATTTTGACCCCAACCTAACCCACTTATCATAATTAAACAAATTGAAATCAAAAATACCTCAGCCAATGAAATTTAAGTATATATTTAATTGAGAGTTTCCGTTAGTAAAAATGCAACATGAAATTCAAATATGTATTTTGATCGTTTCCAAACATGTAAAATGTAAGTATAATGATTGTTTTTAAGTTTAGTGTGAATTATTGGTGTGTGAATCACACAGACATGCACGTAGGCATATTTTTATTAGCGCGCTTCATAAAATATACCTACGTGACAAGTCTGTGTGATTCACACACCAAAAACTCGCACAAAACTTAAAAACATTCCTTAAATAATATCAGATCCTTTGATCCGCTCACATAGATCCTTGTGCAGCGATCTATGTGAGCAGATCAAAGGATCTGGTTTTCAATATTGAGCTGGTTTTTGCTTTTACCTAGCCATTTGCTCAAGTGATCGATGCGGCTCCTGGGTCTCTTAAAGCTTGTTACTAACTATTCTTCCCTTACAGAATGCATTCCATCCTTCCTGGATAAGAAATTATCTTCACTTCGAATTCCAAGCTCATCAGCAAAAAATAAACATCAAAATAAAAGTGCTGCTAAAGTCATAAAGAAAAGAAAAAAAACAACAATTCAGATACTACCATTTTTAAAAATAAAAAAAAACAGATAAGGATCGAAGGAGACAGTTAAGAATAATAAGTCCAGAAAGCATTGAGTTTGAAAGGAAAAGGATAGAGAAAGAAAACAAGAATCAAGGAAAAGAAGAAGTAGTGAAACCATTACACAAGATAGAGAACAAGATCAACAGCGCTAGCTAAAAAAGAGACACAGAGATGCAAGACACAGTGTGGAAAATAAAAGACAAAGAAAGAAAGATGAGATGAAGAATCCATTATATCTGATCAAAGACAAGGAACAAAAGAAAACTGCAGAAGCAAGAAGAGATGTGGAAACAGTCTCATCTGACCAAAAAAGAGATGAAGAAGATTGCAAGAGCAGGAAGATATGCTGATTCTATTATATCTGACCAAGAGAGAGAGAGAGAGAAACTGGAAAGAACAACAAGACATGTAGAAAGAGTTTTATCTAACAAAACAAGAGGTCCACAGGCCTTATATGTCACCTGAATATCATGTAACAACTTTCCAACAATTGAATTTGGTTCGTGTTTTTAACCAGAGGCCATGAAATTCACAATTTTGAATGAGGCACCATTGCTTATCATCATTATAAACTTGGCATGCTTACGCTATTGACTTAATACCCAGAGGTAGATCAGAGTAACAAAGAGAAAATGCACTTCCACTTTATAACCAGTTGTGCACCCGACCCCAAAGGAACCACTGGAGCCATATATTTGAAAATTTTATCATAAATTTTACTTCATCATAAATGGTTGATTAATACCAAAGAGCAGATTTCAAAGCATTAATTCATTTTCACACTATAACCCTCCCCCCTCAGATACCTCTGAACCAGGGGGCATGAAATTAACCATTTTGCTAGATGCACCTTTCTTCATCATAAATATATATACTTGGATCATTAGAATTCAACCCAGGAGCAAAGGAAAAGATTTTCAAAGAATAAATGTATTTTTACTATATAATCAAAAGAGCCCCACCCCTTACACCAAATGGCAAAACCTCTGAAACAGGGGCCATGAAATTCAGAATTTTGAAAGAGGCACCCTTGTTTATCAGAACTATGTACTTAGTTAGCTTATTTAATGCCCAGAAGTAGAGAAGAAGATTTTCAAAGAAATAGTGCAGTTTCACTATAAAATCAATAGAATCCCGCCCTAACACCAGAACCCCTGACCCCGGGGCCATAAAATTTACAATTTTGGAAGAGGCACTCTTACTAATCATAAGTACTTGGTTATTTTATTTAATACCCAGAAGCAGAGAATATTTTCAAAGAATTAATGCATTTTCGCTATATAATCAAAAGAGCCCCGCCCTAATACCAGAACCCCTGACCCTTGGGCCATAAAATTCACAATTTTGGAAGAGGCACTCTTACTAATCATTACTATGTACTTAGTTAGTTTATTTAATACCCAAGAGAAGGTTTTCAAAGAATGCATTTTCACTATATAATCAATAGAGCCCCGCCCTGAACACTAGAACCCCTGGCCCTGGGAACATAAAATTTACAATTTTGGAAGAGGCACTCTTGCTCATCATAATTATGTACTTAGTTAGTTTATTTAAACCCAGGAGTAGAGAAGATTTTCAAAGAATTAATGCATTTTCACTGTATCATCAATAGAGCCCCGCCCTAACACCAGAACCCCTGACCCTTGGGCCATAAAATTCACAATTTTGAAAGAGGCTCTCTTACTTATATTAATGTACTAAGTTAGTTTATGTAATACCCAGGAGCAGAGAAGAAGATTTTCAAAGAAATAATGCATTTTCACTATATAATCTGTATAGCCCCGCCCTAGCACTAGAACCCCTGACCCTGGGGCCATGAATTTCACAATTTTGGTAGAGGACTTAATAGACATTACATTCATGCTAACAGTTTGCCTGCTTGCATGATGTCCAGGAGTAAAGAAGATTTTTAACAGCTTTTGAAAGAAGATTTCAACAGCTTAACAACTTACGACTTTTAAACTTTATATACAACCATTCCCCACGATAAATCAAAGTCCAGGCATTTTGATATCATTGGCAGCTGCTTTTTTAATAAAAATGGAACTTGTTAATTTACTCACCTGGCCATTGGTCATTTGCAAAATTATTTTGTTAAAACAGATTCTGAGTACTCTGAAGTTGACATCAAAGAAATGCTTGAGTTTCCGATTGACAATATCTATGTGGTTTTTGGAGACCAGGTATTCCAACAACCTATTGGAATTCCCACTGGTACCAATTGCGCTCCGTTATTAGCGGACCTATTTACTCAAGCCCTAGAGGGGCTTGAGTGATCTAAAACGATGCTAGGTCATCGATTTACTCAGTTTAAAAACTCAAAAATATATTATTTTTGTAGATCAAAATATTTCCAGAAACAAAAATGAAGCTTATCTTGAAAACGTCTGTATATACAAAGATATTAAATGTTAAATATCGGATTCTTTTCTATGGCGAATGAACAATGAGTGAAGCTCCGCAGCCACAATAGTTTCT